ACTTGCATAAGGAAGGTTGAAAGTCAAAGAAAAAAAAGTGAGTTTCCAAAACTTCAGTTAAGAAACATCATTAATAGATACAGGGAAAATCTGATTCCTAACAAACATGCAAGACCATCAATACTGTTCCCATCAGATAAACAGCACTTAAAGCTGTCATCTTTGAGAGAGAGGAGAAAATCAAGCTGCTTCAGATCTGGAAAAATCCATAGGTGTTTCAGTCCATCCTTTCACTGTGAGAAGACGACTCAGTGCTGTGAGCCTGAAAGGATGTGCAGAGTCCAGACCACAACATGACTGAATAAGTTAGATTACTTGGATTGTGAGAGGCAGAAAATTCAGCCAACCAAAGACTGAACTTTGAAGGTGTAGGAAAACATCCCTGTAGATTTATCTGAAAAACTGAAAGCAAGTCTCCGAAAAACAAGAGAAGCTGTAGTAAAGACAAAGTGTTGAAGCTTCTATGTAATTTTCCGTTGAATTTATTTTTCAGGTTTTTTTTTTTATCATTTTGACTGTTTTACATTTGGTATCATACATGTATTTCAAAAGACGATTTGACTTCATGCCTTTAGTCATATTGCATATCATATGACAATCTGAATATTTGGGATCAATCTCACAGTGTGAATTTTTGCCTGTATTATGCAGACTGCGTGTAGACTAAAGCTGTGAATACAGTGAATTGGTTCATACAGTAATTCCTCTGTTAACTCTGTGGAGTTTGTCTCCCCTCACAGGCTGTGGGTTAAATGACTCTCCAGTTGGCCTGGCTGCATACATCCTGGAGAAGTTCAGCACCTGGACTGATTTTAAGAACAGGGACCTTGAAGATGGGGGTTTAGAGAGGTAAAGAAAAAAAAAGGATGACCTTCTCACCAACGTAAATACTATTTACATTTAGTCATCAGTTACATAACTGAGTGAAAAACAGATTACTTTCCTCACATGTATACGTGCCTAGAAGACATATTATTGTCATGTGTAAATACTCAAAGAAGTACAAATCCATCAAAATTTTGATGAGTTTGATTTTATAATGTTTTATTGGTTCATCACAGCAAGAATGGCCTGGGTTCGATTCCCGGCTGGGTGACCAGGGTCGTTTCTGTGTGGAGTTTGCCTGTTCTCCCCGTGTCTGCGTGGGTTTCCTCCGGGTACTCCGGTTTCCTCCCACAGTCTGAAAACATGCAGTCAGGTCAATTGGACGTGCTAAATTGCCCCTAGGTGTGAGTGTGTGGATGTATATGTCTGTTTGTCTGCCCTGCGATGGACTGGCGACCTGTCCAGGGTGTATCCTGCCTTCCGCCCGATGACAGCTGGGATAGGCTCCAGCACCCCACCGCGACCCAGAAGGATAAGCGGTTTAGATGATGGATGGATGGATGGTTCATCACCTAGACTGCTTCTCACATTTTTAAGCTGTAGCATTTAATTTAAGACTAAAGGAATGTCAATAAGAGACAAATGGCACATTATGTACTTCAGTTTTTCTTGGCTGGGCTACTTTTACTTCTACTTGATTTATTATTTCACTGAATAAAAATTGGCTGCTCTACCCACCTTCACAATGAAGCTGTGTTCACATAGAAACCATATGCATAGTAATGTACCACAACAGTACTGATTGCTGTTCTCTAGATGGGTCAACAAGATAAATGTTTTAATAAAACAACATAATAGGCTGTTTTATGTTTCTAAGAGTCTTTGTTTTACCATAGAAAGTTCAGTTTGGATGACCTCCTGACCAACATCATGATCTACTGGACTACAGGCTCCATCGTCCCGTCCATGCGCTTCTACAAAGAGAACCTGGGCTCAAGCTCAAACTTTTACAAGAGACTGGACAATTTGTGAGTTGACAACTTAGCACACCTTTGTAGGTGCTGAAGTGATAAGGCGAAAGGTGATCAATCTAATTTGCAGAGTTTCCCCCTTAACGCAAATATAGTTAAAATAGTTAAATCTGCCAAAAATAGTTAAATCTGCTAAAACATGTTTGGTGTCCAGAGTTTGCTTCTTTAGTTTTGCCTCACTCAAATGATTCTCAAAAAATTATACACAGGCAAAAGAACAGGGGCTCAAGCTCCCCCTGGTGTTCATAGGTGCATATGCCTGTATATCAGGGGTGCTCAATCTTGGTCCTGGAGATCTACCATACTGCAATGGTAATTTGACAAGTGAAATGATCTTAAATCTAATTGATATATCTAATATTTCTCATCTTGAAATTGTTGTAAAATTATTATAAGATTATTAATTGATTTTACTTAAGTTTAAGTCAGATTATCTCACTATTTTGGCAGAAATGTGCTTGGAACAAGACAAATTATCTGACAATATAGTGAGATAATTTGAGTAAATCACTTAAAACAAGTACAAAATATCTACAAATAAGTTAAATAATCATATAATATGTTAAGAACAATGTCAAAATAAGAAATATTTGATATATCCAAGATTTAAGATAATTTCACTTGTCAAGATAATTTTTTTGCAGTGCACCCTGGACAGTTTAGAGTTCAGATCCAAAACACCAGGCTGTAATACTCAGATGCCCCTAAGGCCTTCATTATCTGGATCAGGTGTGTTAGGTCAGGGTTAGAACTAAATTCTGCAGGGTAGTAGATCTCCACGACCAGGATGGGGCACAACTGCTTTACGTTACCCCTGGTTGTACAGAGGCTTCTTGGAATCTGACTTTGCAAGTCTTACCGCCATTTAGAAACACCTGACAGATGTCTGTATTGTGTATTTACAGAACAAAAATCTATGTACCTACGGGATTGGCAGCGTTTCCCCATGAGCTGGTGCACTGTCCCAGGGTCTGGGCCCGCTCGAGGTTCAACGACATCCGCTCCTACACCTACATGCCGCGAGGGGGACACTTCGCAGCCTTTGAGGAACCTGTGCTGCTGGCCCAGGACTTGATGCAGTTTGTGAAGAAAGTGGAGAGCAAGAAGCCTAAATAACTACTGCACTCAAGTGCCTTTTGACATAAAGCATACACTACTTTAAAGAAAATGGAAAAAATCTGCAAAGGCAAATTAACAAGGCTTTTACTTTGAAAGTATTGAAGAACAAAATAGGAAATAATTCCTTACAGCAATTACACTGCCTTTATACACTTTAAATATGCACAAGGATATTGATTACGGTACTTCAATCAGGTGCAGTCTCGTTTTCAGTATATGGGTTGAAGCTATAGAAATTAGCAGTGGCAAACTGTGATTATTAATGCTAGGCCTACAGCTCGGGCAACGAATGTCAAAACTGAAAATGAAAAAATCACCTCTGCGATAATGTTCATTTCTGCTAGCGCACCTATGGGATTCTAGTAGTATGTTAGTGATTAACATTAACATTTTTGGTCGTTCAGATTAAAGAAAGATACTGGAAACTTATAAAAGATGTTCCGTGTTTTATTTGAAGCTTGTATGAGACATATTAACATGTCTTTTTGTTTTACAGTGAGTCCTTTCCATTTTAAGATTCAAGATTCAAGTTTTATTGTCATATGCACAGTACAACAGGTGGTTACCCTGTACAGTGAAATTCTTACTTTGCTAGACCTCCATTCACAAAAAAACAACCACATAAATAAAGAGTTAGACATAAATAAGTAGACTGGGTAGTTAAAATGAATTGTGCAGTGTTGTGGGAGGAGCATGACATGAAAGTTACATGTGCAGTATAGTTAAAAAAACAGAGCAACAGTCATAAAGTAACATAAGGCAGCGGTCAGGAAGTAAACTCTGCATTATTGCAAATAACAATGGAATGACCACAGCAATAAATGTATGTATGCATATAGAGTTCAGTAGGGCTTGATAAGTAATGTGTGTGTGTATGTTATTTGGAGTTCAACCAGTCAGTAAAGGAGAGGGGCAGTGTTTGAAAGAGTTGTTCACAAGCCTGATGACCTGCAGATAGAAACTATTTGTCAGTCTTCTTGTCCTGGACTTCACCCTCCTGTAGCATCTGCCCCATGGTAGACAGGTGAAGAGGCTGATGATGATTGGACAGTACTCTGAGTACACAGTAGTACACAGCATCATGTTTTTGGGCTGCTTCTCTTCATTTGGGACAGGCGCTCTTGTGAAGATAGATGGGATAATGACTACCTCCAAAGGGGTAGATATTCTGGCAAAAAACCTGCTGGCCTTTCAAAAAGATGAAGACAAATTTTCTTTTCCAACATGATAACGATTCAAACTCCATCTAAGTCAACCAGGGAATGGTTTAAAAAGTAATAATGTGTTTCATCTTTAAAAATCCATCCTTAAAAAAAGGAACACTGGTGTCTTGGAATTGCCCAGACAGAGCCCAAACCCATAGAGTCGCATAGAAAACTGAAATGACCTGAAGAGGATTGTACAGAGGAGATTGCCCAGCAATCTGAAGGAGCTTGAACTTTTACACCAGAGAGAAATTCAGATGTAAAGACTTAAAGACTTATTGACTTAAAGGGCCCATATCCTACATTTTTTTTCCTTATATTTGATGTTTTGTCTTGAGGTCTACTTGTGATGTTTACTTTTTTATGTACCAATCTTAATTCATTTTCCAACCTCTCTTTATCCTGGCTGTTTTTGTTACTGCGCTTTTAAGATGGATATATGTAAACCTGCAAAAGAAAAACAAACAAAAAAAGGCTGTATGGAAACACTGCTTAAATCTTAAGGACCTAACTGAAATGCAGAAATTTTGAAAAATCGGTGGAATTCCCCTTTAGTTTCTGGCATTACGTAACAAAAACATGTAGTAGCCACTGTAAACTGCTTCTCTTCATTGCCACAGTGAAATGTGAGCCAAAAGTTTTTTTCAGTAAACCAATGTAGGACGACTAGAAGGACCTTTTCCGCTTCTCACGCTAGTTATTTTCATTTTCCCACCCGTATTCCTACAAGCCCCGCCCCTTCCCCCCCGAAGTCCTGAACTGCGGTGAGGCGGGTTTGTCAGAATACGGGTGGGAAAAGAAATAAGCTCACAAAACGCAGGTGACCCCCTCCTTCCCCGCTGCACACACGCCTCCTCTGTCCATTTTGCTGAACTTTGCAACAGAAGTGGACTTCAGACGCAAAGAGACGGTTTATGTGTATTTATTGCAGGATACGTGCGAATTGCTACAGCCGCCGTTGGTGATACTGAGAGTCTGGAGCCAAAATCATGGAGACTTTCGAAAACATGCAGTGAGTAACTGTTAGGCCACAACTTTATACGGGTTTGTGTGACAGACTGAGGAGTTTCTTGTCAGAAAAGATATCTGGAACTGCAAATAAATGTGTGGCCGGCTGGTTTGCTATGACTTTTAACCTACAGGTTTTATTCAATTTTCAGCTGTGGCGAGGCTGCATTGAACCTCGATGCAGAACCGCTGGAGTTTAGCTAGCAAGTCATGCTAACGTTAACGTTAACCGTTACAACTCCAAAACAAAAAACTAAGATTATTGTTGAGCTCCTTAAAACATACAAAGTAGGGTACTGCAGGTGCATGAAGCAAAAAATATATTGCCCTCACACTGTTAAAAATAAGAGGAAGTCTAACAAAAATATGTATTTATTCCGTTTAATAGTTATACAAAAAGCCAGACTAAATCCGAGTAAACGGTCATTAATGCTCATGAAGCAACTCTATTAACTTACTCCATTTTTGAAGACCCCAACAAATTATCCTCACCTGATTCTGCTGGGGCCTTCTTAAAGTGGTAGTACAACAATTAGAAGATATACTTAGTTGCATAGAAAAAATAAACATATCAGAAACCATTTCAAAGTACAATACATTGATCAAAAAACAAAACATAAAATTGTTCTTGAACAAAAAATAAGATTAAGTCCTCATCCATACCTTTGGGATACAAAGATATAGTTCATAAATCCAGAAGGCCTCTCTCTGTAATAATCGTTTAACCTGATCTCCCTCTTTTGTTTGCAACAAAACCCTCTCAACGCCCAAGTAGCGTAGATCTGAAAGTGAACGTTTAGCTGATTCAAAATGACGAGAAACAGGGGATGTATCATCCTGTCTACAAAAGGCACTCATATGTTCAATTATTCTAGTCCACAGATCTTGTCTAGTTTTACCAACATACAATAAGTACAAGGCCACATGATGACATGAACAACGTGTGAATCTACAAGTACCCGTTACAGTACTGAAAGGCTGCACAGAAGCTCAGAAGACTTTAACATTTTTTGTGTTTAGTGAACTTGTTCAGGCATGAAACAGGACATTTTCATTCACTCAGTTTTAATCCTGAAAGACCTTCATAGATCTTAAGCTTGTCACCATTAGTGGTAAGTAGAGTAGCCTAAACCCATACACATGTAAAAGCATTGATAATTTGGTAAAATAATGGCTCAAGTAAAAGTAAAATTACCTTCCCAACTCACAGCATGAGTAGAAGTAAGAAAGTATCAGGTCAAAAAACTACTAAAGTACTGAGTAACTTCTGCAACTGCAGTGGAACGTCTTAGTAAATTCAGCATCTCTCAGCATGAGAACTGGGGTGTAACACTCTATTCTTCTCTTTTTGGGATTCTTTTGGTCTGAAATAAAATGGCTTTTGTCTCCAAAAAAGCAAAATGAAATTAAACACAAAAATGAGTTGGTAACTAAATATGAATGGCAAAAATGTAACCGAGTAAAAAGTAAGTTCCTTTACTCACTAATATACTAATATACTTTTAAGTACAATGATTTGAAAAGACTCAAGAGAGTAAAAATACTCAGGAAAGTAAAAATCCTTAGTTTATAGCTACGATAGGAGGTAGAGCTGTGTTCTGTGTGAAGATTGATAGAAATAGCACTTATACACTAAATATTGCAATGGTTTACATTTATTTAACAATTTTTAGAAGACCAAAAAAAAACCTCTTTAAAACTAACTATTATTTATTGTAGATTTTCTTACTGAAGGCTAGGTCTAGGACAAGGTTAAATAATGAAATCTGAATATAAAATGCATTTGTATGATTGCAAAAATAAGTGATTATGACATGATAACAAGTCTACAAAACTGTAAAATGTAAAAATAAACCCATATCTGGGATCACCCAGCTGTAGTGCATATCTTAATGAGTAAAGTGTATATAAAAATGTTACGACCATCTCTCTTGAACACTTTATTATTCAGTCACTTTCTGACAAGAGCTTCAGACACTCCTCATTTAAAAGGAAAAGCAGTGTGCTCTTATTGTTACTAAATTAGTGTCCATGTGATGTTTTGGTACATAGTTTTGCTCACTTGTCTCTTTACAAATTTCATCTTGTCTTTTCTAGAAAGGCCATTTCCAGTCTTGATCCCTGCAAACTTAAGGTGTTACTGGTCACCTCTCTGGGAATTGGAGGTCTTTTATGCTACTTGGCATTGAGGAAAAAGCCAAAGAAGATCCCAGTTGGAGATGGCTGGTGGAGAGTAGGGGAGAAGCCCCTTACAGAGGACAGGACTATACGTCCTTTTGTTGTGGAGACCTCTGAAGAAATGATACAGGTAGAATAAAGTTACTGCAAAGCTGCACCATGTAAGGTTTGGGTATTTGGAGACCCCTCTGATAAAAATGTGTAATTGCATGCAAAGTGTGCACATTTTGTAATGTCAGTCATGCTTCAGACCTCCTCCCTAAAACGTGGTGAAGGATGTGTCTTTGGAGAATGTGAGTGAATTATCTACTGTTGTCATCATATCTTCATCAGCATAACATTGATTTTGCATTTGAGACCTAAACTTGGAGCCAGACCTGTGGTCCGAAATCCAACCCAACATAAGTCACTTCTAAATAATTTCTTTAGGCTTACAGGGTGACTTTTTTTTTTTTTTAATTTGGATTCAGTAATTCAAATTTTTTTAATGTAACTATTACAGTACTATCAATTTTCTACTACTTCTACAATTTCAGTTTTAACAAAAAATCTTAGTGCAGCTTTAAAGATCTGACTTTTGTAAAACTGTTATGCTGCCTGAAAATGAACAGAGCAAGAGGAGTCTGAAACAAAGACGGCTCATCGGTTGGTTAATTGCTCACATTCAGAAACATTAACCACATTAATCTCTGCTCCCTTCAGGATCTTCACCAACGCATCGACCAAACAAGATACACGGACAGTGTGGAAGATGGCCGGTTCCACTATGGCTTTAACTCTGCCTATCTCAAAAAGGTGGCCAAATACTGGAGGCAAGAGTTTGACTGGGAGAAGCAGGTTAGGGTGCTTAACAAGTACCCTCACTTCAAAACCAACATTGAGGGTGAGCATATTTACATGGTGGCTTGATAGAAGAACATTGTCATAAGACACCATTCTCAGACACCTGTCCCAATCACAGTTAGTGTGAAGTTTAGTGGAAAGTTATTTTTTGTTTATTTGAAAATGGTCATACTGCACATACAATACCACAAGCCTATTGTAACATAGGCCACCGCAGAAGATCTCTGGAAATTTAACATCATTGTTGAACCCATTATATGGGTCTTCTTAGGTTTGGATGTGCACTTCATCCATGTGAAGCCTGTCCAGCGTGCTGGACGGAAGGTTCTGCCTCTCATGATGGTGCATGGTTGGCCTGGTTCCTTCTATGAGTTCTACAGGATCTTGCCTCTGCTCACTGAGACTGAGGGAGACTTTGTCTTTGAGGTCATCTGCCCCTCCATCCCAGGGTATGGCTACTCTGAAGCTCCACATAAACAAGGTAAGACTGTTAGCATACACTGAGGTGCCTGTTTAGAAGGTACACCTACCATATAGCAGCACTTTATTAACAATTTATCTTTAACCAATCCATCAGTGGAAAGGGACCTGCATAGGACCACTGCCTAGATATTGTTGGGTGGTGGACCATTTTCAGGACAGTGGCGATACCAACAGGGTAGTAGCGTGTTAGTAGGTGTATTACTCAGTGTAGTTCTGCATACATACATTCTATGGGTAGAAAATGTCATCCTTGACTAATTTATTTTTCTTTACTTGAGTGCTAGCCATTTAGTTTTTTTTTATTTAAAATATAGATTATTTATTTATTATTACTAGAGTTTTTGTTATTGTTCACTGTTAAATGCAGGTCTGATTAGTACGGAGACATAAACATATGTACACTGTTTCTGTGTACACATCTGTTTATATTTTGTATTTATCTTTTGTCCCTCCCCTTTCGTTTGATTCGTCTTGATTTGCCCTTTCCATATAAAAAAAATAAGTATACAATTCAGAATCAGAATTTTTATTTGCCAAGAACCAGATCTACAAGGCATTTCTTTTGGTGCAGGTGTCAACATAAAACAAAATCCATATAAATAAATATAGAAGTAATGAAGTGCATGTGTAGCTGTTTTAGCAGAAAGATGTCAGAAGGAACCTTCTTTAGGAGCATGATGGCCTTGGGAAAGAAGCTGTGGAGGTAGCGGTTGGTCTGAGTCATAAGAGCTCTCACTCTTGATCTGTGCTGAGATGGAAACCGCTGGAAGAGAGAGTGACCAGGGTGTGAGGGGTCATCCTAGATGCGTAAAGGTCTTTAAAGGTGGACAGCTGGTAGCCATTGTTTTTATCTGCAAATCACACCGTTCGCTGTAGCTTATGCTTGGTGTGCGAGGATGCAGAGCCGAACTAGACAGAAGGAGGATGTTATGATGGATTCTGTTATGCCAGATCTAAAGACTTGTTAGCTCTAAATGCAAACTGCAGAGGATCCTGGAGGGCATCAGTAATGACTTTGAGGTGGTGAAGTCTCTTAAAATGCTTCATGACTATAGAGTTTTGGTTAGGGCAACTAGTCTGTAGTTATTCTTCTGCTTTTTAGAAACTGGTATGATAACAGATGTCTTAAAACAAGCAGGTACAACAGACTGGGTCAGGGACTGATTTAAGAGATCAGCAAGGATGGGAGAAAGCTGTTTAGAACATAGAGTATTGCATGAGAGACAGCCATCAAGAACAGCAGCTTTCCTAATCTTCTGTTTCCTGAAAACACTGCTGACCTGCTGAAAAGTGATGGTGATGGTAGGTGGTGGGGTGGGGATTGGTAGTGGTGTGGAAGTGAGAGCAGATGGGGGTGAGGTGTGAAAAGGCTGCACACAGTGTGTAGCAAACAGACTGAAGCTAGTCTGGGATAAGGGGGGAGATGTCCTTCCTATTTAAAATCTGAGTAAATTATTGATATTGTTATTGAGCTGGTTTAGAAGCAGGGAGTCTTCTGGTTAGAGCTCTTTTCAAATGGAGGAACAGTCATTTGAGGAGAATTGCTGCTGCAGTTTTTCTCTTTTATTTATGTTTGGCAGTTTTGACTGCTTTGTTGAGTGCATACTTTTCCCTTTTTTGTATGCATCACGGTCACCACCCCTATACGGCCACTTTAAGGCCTTTTCCTTGGCTGTGCCCGGTTTCCTGTGCTCATTGGAGAACCAGGGTTTGTTATTGCTGTACATGTAGATAAGCTTTGATGGGAAGTCTCCCCACAGAAGCTTATGTAAGAAGTGACTGCTTCTGTATAGTCATCTAGGTGGTTAATTGCAGATTTGAAGGAGTTCAGACATTCCTTTAAATCCTCTGTGGCAACAAGAGACCATTCTCACTGATTTCACCTCTGGTTTTGTGGTTTTAAGCTCTTATGAAGGGATAAGCGAATGGTAGGAGTTACCAAGTCAGGGACGGGAGCTTGCCTAGTATGTGTCCTTGATGGGGTAGCAGTGGACAAATGTTTTGTCTTCTCTGATGGGGCAGCTGATCAGTTGTTTATATTTTGGTAATTCAGCACTTAAACATAAACCCCATGCATTACAGAGTTAAATTTATCAGGTGAGTAGAATGGCTTGCAACTGAAATCTTAACACACAGTTAAAGCATGATTTTTGGTACTGCAGGATTCACTTGCCTGGATGCTGCACGGATCTTCCATAAGCTGATGGACAGACTGGACTTCGGTGACTATTACGTTCAAGGGGGAGACTGGGGAGCATTCATCACCTGCAGCATGGCCCTGATGAAGCCTGAGTAAACTACATTATTCATAATACATGCTACATGATTGGGTCTGATTGGTTTCCTCTTGCTCCTTCTTTTTGTAGCAGACCTTAAATGAAAAAAGGTGCACTCAGATTTTACAGTCTGTTTTGCATGCGGTATCATATAATATAAATCATAGTTCATATGTTTTATATATCGTGTACTATGAAAAATGTTGGTTATATTTTTGCATATCACTCACCTTTATTTGCCAGCTATTAAAACTTATTTTTGTACAGAGCATATCTTCAAGAGTACTAATTTTACATGCTTTCCCCCCCTCTCTGAAATAAGGTGCATTCGGGGTCTACATCTTAACATGGTCAACGCCAAGGCAGGAGGCACCCTGACTGTCATCTCTCTCCTTGTTGGCCGTTATCTGCCTTTCCTGGTGGGATTCACCAGTGAAGATGTTCGCAGAATCTATCCTTTCATGCAAAAGAATGTGTACGAAATACTACGAGAATCTGGCTACATGCACATCCAAGCCACCAAACCCGATACTGCAGGTATGATGCTGTGTCATAATTGGTCTAGCCTGCGAACATCAGAATCAGAAAGTGGGTCTGAGGCTGGCTTTACATGGTAGTAGGATGTTGTGAGTTGCTGGCAACATAATTTCCATGCAGCTTGACCGTTACATGAAAGCAAGGCAAGTTTACTTATGTAGTACCTTTTATAGACTGCGGTCATTCAAAAGGCTTTACAAATAAAAATACAAAGATAATTCATATTAAAATTTAAAAAAATTGTAGGAGCATGATCAAAACATGATTAAACAAAAGATTTAAAAGAGAAGAAATTAAACATTTAAAGATCTAATTACAAATTAAATTAGGATAATGGAGAGGCGTTACGGGATAAAAGTGCAGCAGAGCTAACAGTGTTTTAAACAGAGATGAAAGCTGCTCAAATAGGCTGAAATAATTTTCAGCCAGGATTTAAAAGTGTCTAGTGTCGGGGCTTTTCAAATACTCTCTGTCAACAGGTTCCATTTAAGACTAAGATTTTGAATGCTACTTCATGTTTAGTCTTTACCTTAGGCAGGACTAAATGACTAGTTCCTAATGATTTGAGAATTCAGCTCAGCTCATATCGCTGCAGCATATCAGATCAGTACACTGGTCCTACACCATTAAGCGATTTATAGACCAGTAATAGTACCTTAAAGTCTGTTCTGTAACATACCGGTAGCCAGTGCAGGGATTTAAGATTGGGGCTGATGTGTTTCCTTTTTTTACTCCTAGTAAATGTAAAAGACCATTACACTACTCAATCCTGCTAGAAATAAAGGTGTAGATGAGTTTCTCCAGGTCAGGTTTGGTCAGAAAATTTCAAATCTTGTGGATGTTCTTAAGGTGATAAAAAGCTGATTTAGTTACTGCGTTGAAATGACTCCTAAAACTGAGATCACAGTCAATTAATACACAAAGGTTACATGCTAGTTCTTTCAATTTTAGGGACCTTTATTCTAGATAGGCAGCCTGTCTGTGCTGAATAAAATAATCTTTGTTTCATTTTTTTATTCAACTGTAGGAAGTTTTAACCCCATTTAGCTAGTGATGTGGTCAAGACACTTCCAAAGTGAGGGTGACCATAGATGTTTGGGGAGAGGGCCAAGTAAATCTGAGTGTGATTTGCATAGCTGTGGTAAGATATCCCATAGTCTTGTAGGTTTTGACCAAGAGGTCCCTGGGGGATCTCACATGTCACTGCCATGCTCTTAGAAACATTATTTTCTATTTTGACAAAGTAGTTCCTTCTTTGCAAGTATAAACTTAACCATTTAGGACAGTACCTGAGAGTCCAACCCAGTTCTCAAGTCTATGTATAAGAAATTGAAACACATTCTTTCAAAAGTTGGTTGGTAATCTGTAAAACTGCAAGTGGATGATTTGAGATGGCTCAAAATTTAATTATAATAGTCCTAATCTGAAACGTTGACCATGATATCTTTACATGGTGATGGAGGGGACACGGGCTTATTGGTGGATGAAGACATACCAATGGGTTGTCTGATATTACACATTTTAGTGTCAAAGTATGCAAACGTATTACATCTCACTTGATACTAATTCAGGGGTCATATATATAGGTGACTGTGTTAGTTTGTCAATCATATTGAAGAGTATTTTTCTATTGTTAATGTTATTGTTGATAATTCTGGAGAAGAGGGATTGTCTAGCTTTGCACATTACTGTATTGCCATCACATAGCCTATCTTTGAATATTTCTTTGTGGATCTGAAGTTTGGTTTTATGCCATCTGCGTTCAGCCTTCCTGCATTTTCTCTTTTGGAGTTGAACTGCAGTAGCATTCCTCCATGGTGCTTTCTGTTGGCAAGACATAGTTTCAACTTTAACTGGTGCAATCTCACCCATAAACCTAACGTTTGTTGAGTTAAAGCTATCCAGCTTCAGATGGTTTGCATGGTGCTGAGCACATTGTGTTCATGAAAACAGTAGCTGTCCTGCCATTTATAAACTTTTTCTTCTTTCTCTTGTGTGTCGTGAGGTCCACATTTCAAAGAAAACACAGTAATGATCTGACAAAGCAACATCCTTCACTACTAGTAGTATTCTTGGTACCCCTTTCAGAACTGCACAACTTCTGTGCTTTGTGCCAAACAATGTGACTCACATTTTACATATTACAGATACCTTATTGGATACATTCACATTATCTGACATGTACTCCCTGTTCTTTCTGTTTCTGTACTGGACTGGGAGAAATTGCAGGCACACAGGGTCTGAGCTTGTTTAGAAAGCATGTACTGCTGACATCATCACTGTAGCAGCACAGACCCTTAAAGTATCAGTTTGCTGAACTACTTGAATATGTAGTGACCTTCTCTTTCAGTGGAAGAGCTCCTAGTGGGTGGAGCTCCTGCTGACTGTGAGGTACAGAGCGAAGCTGCCTTTGTGATGGTTGAGGAGCTTTTCTCTTTCTTTAACGTGTTACAGGTGTTTGGGAAGCTTGACTCTTCTTCTTCCCCTGGCCTGGCTCTGTGTGTCTCTTGCCCACTGCTGTGTTAAGCCCCCTACCCGCTGTCTGCCGCCAACACTCCCACACCCTAATACTCCTCGTACAGCTCAGGAATGCCAGTTCTTGTCATCCGATAACAAGCTCTGAAAACTTGTTTCCAAAACTGTCATTTTTTGTAGAAGTCTAACAATTTTGACAGCACCTGTGTTTTGAAACCTGAAGAGGAATTTTGTAAGTTTCTTGTTTGGTAGCCAACAGGAACTATTCTAATGTCTATAGCATTTCTCTAAAAAGTATAAAAAATATCCACTTTTACCTTTGTACTGCTCTTGACTTGTCTGTTTTGTGAGCTTACACACTGTAGCTGGAAAAAATAAGAAACTTCACAAATTAAAGGACAGAAAGACAGCAGAGCTCAGCAGAAAAGCATCTCAACAGCAAAGAAACAGCAACCATTTAAAAACAAAGTTGCATGCAACACAGGTACTCCCTTTGAGAGCCATGTTGGCAGCTCATATTTTTGGAGATTGTTCTCATTATAGTCATCTGCACCCAAATTACATATTTGCACAATTTTCATTTTCAGCTGCCTAATTAAGCATTTTCTGTTTTATTTTCACATCCATTGATCCAGTGAAATCAATAGTTTGAAAGTCTGTTGTTTGCTATGATTACATGATGCTTTTGCAACTGTTTCAATTGAGTTGTAGGATGCTTTGTACAACTCAAGTGCAATTTAGTTTCATGTGAGTTTCAAGCAACTATTGTTGAATGAAAGTTTTACCACAAAGCCAGCCTAAAATGGGTCTAAACAATTTTAACAGTAACAGAGATGAATTGGTTCATACAGTAATTCCTCTGTTAACTCTGTGGAGTTTGTCTCCCCTCACAGGCTGTGGGTTAAATGACTCTCCAGTTGGCCTGGCTGCATACATCCTGGAGAAGTTCAGTACCTGGACTGATTATAAGAACAGGGACCTTGAAGATGGGGGTTTAGAGAGGTAAAGAAAAAATTAATCATAAATGTATATGGTGGGTAGTAAGTAGTTAACATTGAGTCACCCAAGTAAATCAGTAAAAATCAGATTACTTTCTTCACAAATATATTTGAGTAGTAGGTTAGAAGAATAATACTGTCATGTAAATGCTCAGTACTACTAGATGGGTCAACAAGATTAAGTTCTGTATATACATTATGGTCAAACATGTATTATTAATGTGTAATAAAGTAATAGGGTGAAATTTCCTGTTAATTGTGAGTCTTTGTTCTGCCATAGAAAGTTCAGTTTGGATGACCTCCTGACCAACATCATGATCTACTGGACTACAGGCTCCATCATCCCATCCATGCGCTTCTACAAAGAGAACATGGGTGCAAACTTTCAAAAAAGCATGGACAATACGTAAGTTGACCTCTTAGCAATACTTACTGTGCATACTTTTAGTTGGTTGTATCCTTAAAATGATAGAGTTTTACTTTACTCAAATGTATATTCCCAAAACCCCAAAGAAATAGTTCTTTATTCATATATAATTTGCTGTTTTGTTAATGCTTTTGAATTTATATAATAATGATGATAATCATTATATTGGGAAAGAGAACTAAGATAACTAGAGGACTGAAATAAATTCACTGTTGATCTACTGCGATTCAAACTATTTCAACGCATCAGTGATTACTTGTGCAGGAGACCGAAGGGAACAAACGTTTTAATCACTGTTTCTCATTTTTCTTTTTTTCCCGCTCCACAACTTTTAGCTATGCACTGAACTTTAGTCCATTTTCTATAGATAGCAGTATGTCATGCTGTAAAAGGTACATAAGCAAGTCCGCTTTAGATTACTTTAAAAGTTAGTTAAGTGATAAGGCAGGCAGGTTGTTTGTACATTGCTGATTAGTGGGGTACATGCAACCATTACTTCATGACTATATTAGCTAAGTCAGCAACAAAACTAAAGAAGCAAACTCCAGACACCAGTCGTGTCTCAGTAAGAGAGACTGGGCAAGATTTGACTATTGTTTAAAATTTTCAGTTGAAAAATTTAAATGTTTTTGGTTGTACTAGGTTTTTTCCACACTCTGAACACAAGTTAACAGATTTTTCATTATAGATTTTTTGACTTTGCAAATCTTTCATTTTCAGAAACACCTGACTGATGTCTGTATTTTGTATTCCCAGAACAAAAATCTATGTACCTACGGGATTGGCAGCGTTTCCCCATGAGCTGTTGCACTGTCCCAGGGTCTGGGCCCGCTCAAGGTTCACAGACATCCGCTCCTACACCTACATGCCGCGAGGGGGACACTTCGCAGCCTTTGAGGAACCTGTGCTGCTGGCCCAGGACTTGTTGCAGTTTGTGAAGAAAGTGGAGAGCAAGAAGCCTAAATAACTACTGCATTCCAGTGCCTTTTGACATACATACACTACTTTAAAGAGAAATGGAGAAAAATCTGAGAACAAACAAGTAATATAACTGTTAATTTTACAGATAATTTGAGACAAACTAAATGGGGAAGTATACCTTATAATCACACTGCATTTATACATATATTAGAGCACTGCTATTATATCCATGGCTGATTTGGTGATGAACAATATGTCCAAAAGTTTGTAGACACCTACTTATTTGTTCTGAAATCAAAGGTGTAAATACGTAGTTTGTCCCTTTTTGCTGCAGTAACAGTCTCTACTCTTATAGGAAGGCTTTACACTGGACGTTGGAAGATTGCTGTGAGGATTTGATTGCATTCAGCCACAATAGCATTAGTGAGATCAGGTACTGATGTCCGATGAGTAGCTCTGGATCACCCTAGCTCATCTCAAAGGTATTGGATGGAGCTCCATGACTCCAGGGAATGCAGTTTCACTGCTGCACAGCCCAATACTGGGGGGCTTTATACCCCTCTAGACAACATTTGGCATTGAGCATAATGACCTTAGGCTCGTGTAGCTGCTCGAGGGTGTGCCCTTATATTGTATGCTTTACTATAAAGATTATACAAGTTATGTGTAAGCAAATGAACACTTGTCATCAATAGGTGTACCTTAAAAGGCCCATTTTCTGTTTTGTGTATTTTTTTATTAATTTTTTTTGTATGAAAAGCACACAGTTCCTTTTTTTTACTTGACCGTTTTTCAGCCCCTCTTTATCCTTAGATAACTAACTAGATTCACTAAACAGGTTGTTTTTGTTACTCTTGTCTTTAAGACTGTTATATGTACGTGATCTTTGTTCTGATTGGCTGCTCTATTTTGCCTTTTTTATAAAAAGCAGTCAGCATTGAAATACTGCTTAGAACTTCAACATGAATAGGTTGAGCTAAACCGCTGTGTGAATAATTAAACATATCTAAACGCTTGTTTTTTTGTGACCTCACAAAAGGGGACTATTCAAAACAGGCTGTTTTTGCGGCTTTGTTTCCATATAAGTACTGTATATGCTGGGGAGGGAATGCCAAAGTTGACATTTTGACAGTGTTTACATACCAGATCAAACCATGTTAATAAAATAAATGAGTAGTAAAAATTGTTTTTTTTGGTTGAGTGTTCAGAATTGCTGAATTCATTAATCAATTACTAAGAGGGTCTGTACACTTTTGGACATGTTGTGTAATGATGTAAAAATATGGCTTATTGTGCACAACTGATAAATCTATATAACCAGATTTTAGTACTTTGTCTTTCAAAAACAATTTAATAGAAAATGAAAGAGACAGATGATACTTGACACATGTATAAAAGTCAAACAATCAGTATAAAATCAAAACTGAGGGAATTCATTGAGAAATAATTCAGTTTTGCTGACCACATAATTTCTTTTTTTTTTTAAATGGGAAGATGAACATATTGAAAATGCATCCATCCATGTTATGTATTTCTTCATAATAAAATGTAACTAAAATGAAATGACAAAAGTAAATGACGTTCATACTGAGTGTTCGTCACCTGAGGTGAATTAATAGTTTGATTAAATTCAGTTCCTGAATGAAGCGTGTAAAACTGACTCAAATGAAATCCCTGAGGATGGAGTTAGGTGTTATATGGTGGAGCCCTGAACCCTTATTGTATACCATGCATACACTCTTAAAAACAGAGGTGTGATTCCACAAGAACCACTTTTGAATGTTTTTTTAAGAATCATTTTAGTAAATTTGTGTGAGTGTTACAAACCCTTTTAAAGTCTGAAAAACCTCCATATAATGTCAGTGTTCTTGGATAAACCCTTCAAATGGTATAGAACCTTTACATATGTGGAGATTCTTTAATCTTCAAAAAGGTTCTCTACCTTCACATCATTTACCAAAACATTTCTCTAAAAGACCCACCCGTTGAAAGGTTTAGGGAACGAAAAGTGGTTCTTCTGTGGTATCACTCCAAAGCACCTTTTCTATTAAAAATGATGGGCTTCCATCGAGTTCCCTGTCATTTACAGAAGCCCTTTACAGTCACTGGAGCCTGAAACCATATATAATCTTCCCAGTCTCTGGTGGCTGCCTTTGACTGCCCACTTAATGAAGTGTCGCAGGCTAATGAAATGACTTGCTTCTTCACCCTTGTGGGAACTTTGAAGTCAACCTTTGGCTTAAACCATGCTACGCCACAGTCCCGGTGGGCAAGGGCCATGACTGTAGTGGCCATGAGGCGCACGGGTTTTACGTCAGATAACAAGTCGGCCACAAACAGAGTGCGGAAAAGCTGCCTCAGACATGAAGACGTCCTCAAAGTCCTCTCGCCACCTCCCACGACCAAAGCCTCCATGTTGACCTCATACAGCTCAGTGGGAAGGACTGTAGATCCGCCCAGCATGAAGAGCACTCGTGGCACGTGGCTGAGGGAGAAAAGAGCCTCTAGATTACCCAGCACGTCGTCTAGCTCCTGCAGTGTCCGCTGGCATCGTTGCCAATTCAGGCCTCCAGACATTTTGGTAGCTTTCTTGACTACGGCTTCCTCAGACTTTATGGAAAGAGGAATTAAGTTACAGTCAGAAAGATCAGAAAGTCATTTCTATTAATAAATACATAGAGCATGCAAAGTGCTACAGAAAAGATCTGCAAGACATTGACAGAATTTTTTTTGAAGGTTTTAAGGGAATGTTACTTCAAAACTTTTAGCCTGAAGTGTAGGTTTATCCAAAATACCATAATCTCATGCTTCCAATTATATTAGTTGCAGGGCACCTATTCAGGACCACATCTGGAGTCTAACTGGAGTGCATGCCTTAACTAGATGTTTTTAAATTTATTTTAGAGAGGACACAAAAAGGAATTCCAGACCAATGAGATAACAACAAATAACACGTGCGTTATTATGGCCGATGCAAATCGAGGTGCGCCGAAATTAAAATTTTTGTCTTAAATCGAAACTCGGGGCCCACTGGGTCGAAACCCCCCCCCCTAAAAAAAAAAAAATCCCTGAACCTACCTTACCTGTTATTATATGTAGGCTATATGTGCCACGATACCCAATAACCTCAACAACAGGTTATCCAAAGAAATTAATTCTATTAATTTTTAGTTTTGCTGTATTCTGCATGTTGACCAAAATGTTGCATTTTCAAGTGATTTATCAAACCTGTAGTAGTTCTTAAGTATTGTACCCCTTCCTGATACTCTGCATGAAGAGAGATCATAAATTGCTTGTCTAATGTCCCCCACTGACGTTTTGTTTGCAAATTTGTCAGCTTCTTTAAGTGAACTTTGGGAGCTGACTTGTGTTGAAGAGCCATTTATATTCGATTGACTCACCTGTGTATAGACTGAGCAGCATTGGCAGATTGCTCGTTATGATAATGATAACATGTAGTGCAGCGGTCACCAACCCTCCTCCTGGAAATTTACTTTCCTGTGAAGTTTAATTATTACCTACTACCTGGGGGGTAGATGTCCTCAGAACAAGGATCTACCTATTAGTAATTATTAGTTAGAAGGAATAATGTGTTTAACAGTTAATCTGATTTGGAATGCCATCAACTCGGCTCCACATGGCGTATTTTTACTGTTCATTCACTGCTGCTCAAACTATTTAAACATATCTGCGCTGACAGACAGGAAACAGACAGCATTTTCAGTCACAGTTTCTAATTTTCATTAACGTTCCGATTATTAGAAAGAAGTGTTTTCCATCCAAAATTTTCAGCTTTTTCCTCTTTTGTAGAAAAAAACAATTTTCAGTGGTCAAAGTTTTGGTGCATCTCTAGTTAATATTGTTACTCTCCTGTCCCCATGGGGCCAGACATGATCTCACCTCTGGGGACAACTTGTTAAACGTGCTAAACTGCAGTGAAATCTGCTGCTAACAAACCAGCCCCCAAACTCCTCTAGTCAGTGTTCTTTTAACATGCAGAGCAATCAATAACACAAGCCAAACAAGCTAGCTAGTGAAATGCAACTGTTAGCTTATGGAACTGCTTTTTCCTTACACGTTGTAATGCTCATTTTAGCATGCGTAATCTGTGATATCTGCGCCTGCGACACACATTTGTATACTTCACTGGAGTTTTTTTGTCAGCAATGCTAACTTCTGTTACATCCATACGCTAAGCACAGTCTTCTTGTCTGTTCACAAGCCCAGTCAAAAAAGAAAGAGTTCCTAAGGCACTTGTGTGCTTTTTTGCTAGTGTCCTACTACCCAAAACCCTGATACTGATAGGTTCTCTTTGATTTTTAAAACAGAAAACATCCTTCTACTTTCAAAAATGAAAGGAAACATCTGCATAAATAGCTAGAAACAGGTTTCATTTTTAACCATTTAGCTCTGCCCTCTAGCGTCTGCAGTCATTTTTCCTTTACAATGGGAAACATACAAACTGACCAGGCTTCCCATAAACTGCCTCTGCCACTACTTTGAGCTCTGTCTTCTCTGTCTGGTTGTATTGAACTGTTTAGGAATTTCACACTCCGTTCATCCCCTCCTTAAGTCTAGTACATTTGCCCCAGCATTCCTCATGGTTCTCCACAGACATTCTTGCAATTAGATTACGTCTGGCCATGCGAGACTAGGTGATGGACTACCTATTCTGTTTGATCTAAGTTCTAATGAGGGAACTCCTACCTGTACAGATGTGTGCTGCTGTTTTTGGAAGAACACCATCTGGTCATAGGTCATGGGCAGCTGTTGTCGCTGATACAGGACACACTTGAGAAGCTCACAGACGAACCTACAGCAGCCGTCTTGCGTCACGCTCCCGGGAAACACCACGTCCATGCGTCCTTCCTCTCTGCCTTTTCTTGCAATCTCCTCGTCATCACATGTAGCCTGCCAGGCAGACGTCGTCCTACATTCAGAATCCTCCTGCCTGGCCAAAGGAGGGAGTGGAGCATCTGTATGCAGGGTAGCCTTGAAGTACCAATTGATGATGACATTGAATCTGATTAGAGCAGGGAAATCACCATACTGTGCTGAACTCCAGCCCTGCAGGACCAGAGCTGAGCTGCAGCCCAGTATCTACACAGAGTTATCATTTTATCAGAAACATGTAGGTGCACTTTTTAAGTATACAATTACTGACTCTAGGCTACCTGCTGTCAGTCCCCTCAACCCTGTTTATTAATAGAAAGGGGCACTACAGGACCAATGCTGACCAGATATTATTTAGGTGATGATTCATTCTTAGCACAATAGTGACACTGACTTGGTGGTATAAGAATGTGTTGTGCTGGTACAAGAGTATTAGGCACAACAGTGTTCCTGGGGTCTTTTAAACCATGGCTATAGTAAACATGATTTGACTTACCAGAAAGTCATCTAATCCCCTTAGACCATCTAATCATCCAGTGATCAAACAAACCTATGTTTATGCCACAGACCCCAGAGATGTACCCTGGAGAGTTCAGATCCAGTATACTTGACTATTATTCAGAGGCTCCTGAAGGCTTTCATTACCTGGATCAGATGTGTTAGACTAGAGCTGGAGTTAAACTCTGCAGGGTGATAGATCTCCAGGTCCACCCCTGCTGTAAACAATGTGCCAAATTCTGTATTATGCTTTTAAATTTGTATTTTAGTAAAAAATAGCGTAGTTATAAAATATCTAAAACTCAAATTGAGAACTTTTTGTATACGGTTTGTTTTTTTGCCCTTGGCCTACCACAAACACTGCACTTTTGCCCCATGAGACAAAAAAGTTTGGGAACCCTTGCTCTAGCCCTTCATCCATGGTCGGCCTCTACCCACAGGACCACTGTTGGCTGTATACTTTTGATTAGCAGACTATTCTGAATCCAGCAATGACCCTGAAATGTTTAACTCCCCAGCAACAGTACGTATGCATATCAACAGAGGGGCTGGAGACGCTAACTGAATACCAGGGCTCTTCAGCTCCAGTGCTGGAGGATCGATGTCTAGCAGAGTTTGGTGATTTTGGTCAAACAGACCTACTAAACCTGGTAATTAACCAGGTATGTCTGAGCAGGGAAATCAGACTGTGCTGGACACCAGCCATCCAGGATCAGAGCTGAAGAGCCTCATTGTACACGAAGTGGTCTAACATGGTAGGTGTACTTAATAAAGGCAACTCCGTGCACATTAAAAGGGGAACTCCACCTATTTTTCAAAAATTTTACACATTTAGACGGTTAAGATGTAAAATCATTCAGAGTGGTTTGGTGTGAAATGCTGCCTGCTGGAGAAACTTACAGAGTCAGAAATGTTCACAGTGGTGGTGACAGGAACTATATGTAAAAGCTCCCTCACAGTGAGTTATTACATGAAGTGGTTAGGCAGCCTGATGTCTGAGACACTGTTTTATGATAATTTTGTGATAAAGTTTTGGCTTAAAATGTATTTTATTTGATTTATTATGCAGGGCTATGTAAGGCAAAACAGTCCCCCAAAAAACTTTTTTTTATCATTCACTGGTGGGTTTGCATGTTAGGCAAAATAGCTATATTTGTGTTATAGACATCACAACCCCTGGTCGCTATCCCCACCACAGCAGACAAATCTGAGTCTAAGTTTCTCTACAACGAAGCATTTCACATCAAACCACTCTGACTGACTCTGTTTATATCTCAAGAATTGAATTATTTAGAAGTTTTAAATACTTTGTGGTCATGCGTGTCATATAAGTTAAATCTCATAAGGGCAAGAAAGAAACAACTGGTGTCAACACTGAATTAGGCCAATAGTTCACAGTCCTTTTCCTTGAGTACAGCTGCCTGCTCACAGCTCAGTATTTACTCTAAACACAGCCAGCAGAATTCAGGAGAGGCTCATGATTTAAAGGGGTGCTGCGAGTCGGGACTCTGAATGAACAGACACTGAATTACTGAATTAACATTACACCACAAGACAATGAATAATTCACTGCCCTCAGTTACGGTCGCAGCGGTTGGTTTAGCACGGCTTTCCACATGTCTGACAACCATGAGGTGAGCTACACAGGCAAAATAAAACACCCGCTGGAAGCCTCACTTGTTTCCAGTCGACTCTCTGCTGATGACCCAGAAACTCCTGCAGAGCTGCTGCAGTTCTCCTCCTCCTCCTCGCCCTCCGCTTGCTCTGATTCTTCATTTCCATCAGCAGCCGGCAGCTGGATCTCATCACCGTTCACTGTAACCCCGCCGGAGCTCGCAGGTGAGAGCGGACACACTTCTGCCCCTAAATCTGCTGGACTCTCCGAATGGACGCAGCACAAACTGCCCTGTTCACTCGCGAGAGTGGTCTCTTTGTTCGGGTCACTACACTGGACCAACCTTTCACCGCAGCCACCGGTCAGCTCGCTGTTTTTAATGAGAGTCATGACTTTACTCTCTTTCCCTTCTTTCCTCAGCGCTGCCTCCATTTCTCGCAGTTTGAATTGAATTTCCCTCGGCGGTGCATCATGGGAAACAAACGAGAATTTTTTTTTTTACTTTATTTCAAGCGACTTCGTGCTGTGTATACGGCCTAATGCATAGATCAAATAAAGATTTACCTATGAAAATGTATTTTTAAAAAATGACGTTTAAATAAAAGTAATATTTAAAGCTTACACGTCACGTGATCAAAAGATTAACGTCACGACCGGAAGCTTGTGTGGCTATACATTTCTGCTGCAGATTTTTAAATACTCGGATTCTGTGTGGTTAAACTTACTCAGTCAGGACTATATGACATGGCACGACGGTAATGGACGAACTTATTGTATAAAGACGTTTAAAGCAAAAGTTAAACCCAACAAGTCACAAGGAAAAACTGTGGATGTAAATGCCATGGTTCTCAAAAGGACTACAAATCCCAGAGTGCACCACGTTACACAGTGAGAAATATGCGGCGTATGCGAGTTAATAATTTTACTTTAGAACAATAAATCACGTAATTTTGAGATTAATGCTTTTTTTTTTAGTCGTGCAAAATGCGCCGTCACCGACACTTTTTTTTAGCGTATGAAGTTCCCACGTCTATGATTGGTGGGGAGGTGACGAGGCTTGTGGGTATTGTAGTAAATGTATTGAAAACGTAAGAAGTAGCAGGTAAGAGACTGAAAGCATTCCTGATAAATTACAGTTCCTGGTTTTATCACATTATACAAAATTAGTATAATTTACTTCACTGTAAACTGCAGTAGAGTACAAATCATAGATGCGTATAAGTAGAGAGTATAACAGAAATGTTTCAGTAATAATAATAATAATAATAATAATATAATAATGATAATAACAATGATAATAATAATAGTGAGGCAAGCCATACAATATATACATTATACATGTATACATAAACTTTTAAAAGCAATGCTGTGATAATATGATAATAATATAAAATTGTACCAAAATAACAATACAATAAAAATACATACATACATAAATTGCCAGTTGAATGGCATACTTTCAAACGGTTGATATCACCGCATCAATGGACAAGAAAATAAAACAGAAGCTGGTTTATTGGGTGGTTGAAAAGGACCTCCCCCCCATCCCCCAGCTGACTCACGGTTGACAAGGTCAAAGTCTAACTCACTGGATTTAGTGTCATGCAGCTAAAATAAAGAATGAAATAAATTAACAGGAAACCATAAATACAGATGTGTTCTAACAGGCGTTATTCACTGTAGCATTTTGTGAATGGACAGCTTCTTCCTGAATTAATCCTGTCTCTGCTCTTACTGTCCCTGTCAGGAGGAGGAGAGTAGTGGATTAAACCTGTGATATGAATACAAAATACCAGTGAGTTTAAGAGTGGTGACAGTGTGATAGCCTCAGTACTGTTTGCTAGTTAGCTTCGCTAGCACTGGAAGTGGAACAAGATCTAATGGTGTATATACACTAAATGTTATAGTTAAAATACTTATATAGGAGGTTGTTCCGCCATATTGGCAGGGTTCGTTCTTTGTTTACATGCTACAAATACTCACAATTGCTTAAAACTTAAAGACAGCTGTTTTATTGTGTATTTTCAGGCTTGTCGTAGTGAATCAAACAACATCATGATGAAATTAGCTTTATTGATGTTTTGGATCCACAATGACTCCCAGAGTTGAGTAATGATGCAAATAGGCTATCATATTACCTCCCCTTTTATTACCAGGCTTTGTTCCTAGCTGGTGTGTTTAAGTACCTGTTCTTTTGACTAATTTATAATTTCCAAGTCACTTGAAACACTTGTACAGTTTACAAAATACTTATTAGCATATGTCACTCAGTTATTACCATATTACCATAAATCTATTGGAAGATTTCACTCAGTTGCTGGCATATTTGAATTGCAGGAAGACTTTTAGCAAACTAATGAGAATATTACTGTACTATACTATATAAAACCCCATAAATATCCATATTAGATCACACATGGCTTGATGTTTACATCAAAAGGGTAGCAAATTTAATGTCTTTAAGAGAAACAGACGGGATTAATCATTGGACACTTCAGCTAATGTTACAGGCCTAGTCACAGCATAGTTTACTTCACCTTTAGTCAGAAAACAGCACGTTTGTGAAGAGTTAGTGAGCTGATGATGTGTCATAAATCCACTAAGTTCAGTTGAAAGTCCATGAAATCTATATTAGAGTATTAATTTAGCTTGAACTTGTGTTGCCACTTTTGCTGCAATGTTTCCTAAATGCTATTTGCCTACGGTTTTGTCTGAATAGTTGAATATGTCGTTCCTTCCTACCTGCTTTTCTTAATTTTGCCTTGATCTTTGCTCTGGTAGTCATTTGGCTCTACGTGCTAGTTAGCTGTACAAACATATTTAGTGAGTCCATGGGCTAGAGATCAGTCAAAACCAAGGAAAGAAGGCAAGAAAGAAAGATTCATTCAGATATTCAAAACCGTCCTAACTGACTAACCCTGCCACAATAGATGATCGCATATGACACATTTTGTCATGACATCTTATTCCTAACTCCTGTAGATCACATTCCTAACTCCTGTAGATCACATCCAGGTGCAACATAGTGAAGCGTTAATCCCATCTGTGTCATTGGTAAAATGACTGTATTGTGATTCAGATGCAGACTTGTTTGGAGTGTTATTTGTATATTGACCCGTGCCACTACCTGTAGCTCAGTTATACATATAACTAACCTGCTTACAAGTGTTGAAAGTGTGAGTGTGGTAGCGCTACGGTATTTGATTTGTGTGTTGGCTTTTGGCTTTCATTTGATGTTGCCTGTTGGTTGCGCCATTACAAGTTTGCATGAAGCAGCACAATGGCATTTGTCAGTGGACAGTGGACTAGGAGTGATTCATTAAAAAAGAACTGATTCAAAACAACAATTTATTCATGATTCGGGCATCATTTATACACAGATAGAGTTAACTTATATGGGGGGAGCGAGATTGAAGTAGACAATCATTGCAAACAGACGTCATCTTCACTTGTTAAATGTTGTCGTAGATACAGTGGAAATGATAATAAAATTTATCGAACTAGCCAAGGAAAATGAATTGTATAATTGTTTGATTGACAGTTTGAAAGAACTGGTTTACTTAATTTAATATAACTTCCCATTTCTATTGTGTTACAGTTACAGAAACAGTAATCAGATTACTGATAAAAAATACATAAGCTTTATAAAAATTGGATTATTACTAGCAGGAATACATTAAAACCTCTTAACACTCCTGGTGATTTTTCTGTTCTAAGGTCATCTACATGAACCAAATCTTCACTTTGTAAGTAGCCTTTATTTATCTGACTGCCACTCTTAAAATAGCCCTAATTTCTGTTAGCACTGGGATTTGCAATTTTATAACTGCCATACATTCACTGTCTCACACTATGGTTACTACCACTGATGGCAGCTGTGGTGTAAATACATACATTTGAAGGTTGTAAGACATTAAAGTTGCTAGTTCTTTACTGTGTATGTTGCAGCTTTACAGTGAATCTTTCAGTACATTTTGTTTCTTCCATTTCAGTGATGCACAAAAAACCTACTCGAGTTAAATAGCTCCTCCTTGTGGAAAGCTTTGGGCATAGGCATTATAGGCATATTTGTTAACATACTAACAGATGTTCAACAGTAGAAACTGGTCATCTATTTGTCTGTAATGTTTCCATATATATTTGCTCTACTTGGATTTGGCCATTTTGCTAAATGTGGGATCAATGACTGTTTGGTAATACATGCTTTATTTTATTTTTTTATTCAAAGCTACACATTCCTCATTTGAATACTCTGGCAAAATGTGTCATGACAAATGGATGTACACATTGCAGCCATAAAGCAAAGACAAATATGTCACCTAATTTGGTTAATAAAACAGTGCAATTCTGTCAAAGTCGTCTTGTTAAAATTGTTCTTTTTAAAAAAGTAATCAGATTGTTACTTTAATACAGTAATCAATACAGTAATATGGTAATGTAATCCATATTTAAAGTATACCCTCCCAAAACTGTTTAGATTGACACCCAATTCACATATTTTCACTGACAGAGTCGAACGGAATCGGACGATTCATTTAAAAGGACAGTTCGAGGGAATCGGTTCGCTAAACTGAATCGAACTTTCCATTTCTGCTCCACATAGTGTATCATATTTCTACAGTTCCACTCCAACAGAATCGATTCATTTAAAAGGACAGATCGACAGAATCGGTTCATCAAATTGAATCGAAATTTCCAACTCTCCTCCGTATTTTGACGCTCGCTGACATAGCGAGTCACTTTTCAAGCGTTGTACTCAGACAAACAGAGTCGATTCATTTAAAAGGCCGGTCCAGAAGAATCGGTTCGCCAGCAGCTGACAGAAAAGCATTTGACAGGCCGGTTTAAACGTGGTCTCAGCGGCGCGCGCTCCTCTCTCCTGCCGTTGCTAGCCAACCACGTCACGACGCTCTCGTCGTTCGTCCCGCCCCTCCTGGACGGCGATTGGCTGCCGTGTGGAACGCCGCGGCGCAGCGGCCCAATGGCGTGGCCGCTCCCCCGCCGCACTCGGTCCGAGTGTCAGGGTAGGTTGCGCGGGCCGCACGGCAGCCTCCGCCGGATCCCCCCAGCAGGCTCCTCAGGTGAGGCGTCGCGCTCACCAGCGGTTTCACTTTCTCCTGAGTGTCGGGGAACGTCTTCGCTGTGAGCCTGGGGTTGCTCAACGCCAAACACAACAACCCGAAGCCCCCGCAGCACGGCACCATGAGCAAAAAGAAAAAGGAGTGGAGGGCGGAGAAAGGTAAAGGCATCTTCTTCTGCTGGACGCCGCACGCTTTGAGCTAGCTAGCCCCCTCTACTACTGTCAGCGCCGTTACTGCCCCCTCCGAGCCTCTGTCTGTGACGGAATTAAATCAGAAACAAGCAGCTGAAAGCTGTCTGTCTTCACAACCGACATAACACTGAGCTCAGAGCTCCACAGTCACAGACTCAGGGCTGTTAACGCCGTGTTTACACCGTGTTAGCGAAGTTGCGAGAATGTTGACAGTTGAATGTTGACAGTTGGCTTCCTATTCGCCAGCTTCTTGCT